AACAACTTAGGGGATATGTGTAAATAAGAAACACAATTAAATCATAAACTTAAGAGCAAGGAGGGAGCTGAATAAGGGCTAGGGCAGGAAACCAGAGCTGTCCCTCTACCAGTGCAGAAGTAAAATTAGGGTTGGAGGCCCTGCACTCCTTCAAACTCTGAGGATGGGATGAACTCTGCCAGAGCTTGACAGCAGGTGCTACTTACTTAGCCGTTAAGATTTTGTGATCCACGTCATCCAGGGAAGAGCTGTGGGCCACGTGGAAGGTGCCAAAGAGTGTGTTTCTCTTCTTTTTTATCTTCTCAGCCTGAAAAATGAGGCCCTCAGCTTAAAAAGAGCAGGGATTAGAGGCTGGAAAAGGAGGAATGCCTCTCTGTGGCTGGGTTGCCCTACTCTTAGCACAGCTTAGGCTGCACAAGAAAAAGGAAGAGAAGATGGGAAAGGGAAGAGGAAGGTAAGGGGAGGGAAAAGAGTAGGGAAAAAAAAAAAGGAAAGAAAGAATAGAGAAAACAAGAAAAGCGAAGGGATCCCCTGATAGTACCCTAGCCCCAAGAGGAGTCTGTCCCCGTGACAGTCTGGGGCTGGCAGAGCCTTCCTTCTACCTGCCTTCACTTGCTGCGTCTTCCCCAAAAAAGCAGGTGGGAGTGCCCCTGACCCTCCACCCCTGCTCCAGAAGCTTGAGGACATTATCAAGAGCTGTATATTAGGAAAAGAAACAGAACCCAGTGCTAGGATATCTCTTTGTCTAGCAGGAAGGATAGGGAGAGGCACAAAGGAGGAAGAAGAGCAGTGAAAGGGAGGGAGGGAGGCAAGGAGGAGAGAAGAGGGCGGGCAGCAGGAGGGCACGTCTCACCCCCTCCTTGGCCACCAGCAGCTGCTTCTCAGCATTTTGCTTCTTGATGTTGTAGTACTGCACCTCCACCTCATGTGTCAACTGCAGCCACTTCTGAAGGGCCTCTGGAGCATACCATGAGCTGTGTGATTCCAGCTCCTTCTCTGCTTTCCTTAAGGCCTCCCGAACCTGTGCAGCCAAGAGGATGTGAGTCCATTTATTACTAGCATGACCCTCTCCAATGCCTCTGTATGATATTTCGGAATTCAGAGTTCTTATCTGCTCTCTTATGTGAGCTTTACTCTTCCGAGAGGGAAAAACAGCAAGGATTAGTCTCTATATTTTATATACAAGGAACCAAGCTCAGAGAAGGAAAGAATCTACTCAAGGGGCACACAGAAAGTACAAGAGTCCCCCCTTATCCACAGGGGATAAGTTTCAAGACCCTCAGTGGATGCCTGAAACTGTGGCTAGTACCAAATCCTATATTTACTATAATTTTTCTTATACAGGCAAACTTTGTTTTATTATGCTTCGCATTACTGCACTTCACAAATGTTGCATTTATTTACAAATAGAAGGCAAGACCTTCCACCAGGAAAAAGATTCTATCTGGCTTTATTGAGATACTCCTTTTCTTATGGTAGTCTGGAACTGAACCCGCAATATTTCCAAGGCATGCCTGTATGTACATACACTTTACGGCTTTTCTTTGGCATATCTGAATTGTTAGCATCACTACTCTTGCACTTTGGGGCCATTATTAAGTAAAATAAAGGTTACTTGAACATGAGCACTGCAATAACATGACTGTCAATCTGATTACCGAAGTGGATACTAAGTGACTAACTGGCGGGTAATACATCCAGCATAAATACACTGGACAAAGGGATGATTCACGTCCCTGTGGGACAGAGCGGGATGGCATGAGATTTCACCACACCACTCAGAACAGCACACAATTTAAAACTTAGGAATTATTTACTTCTGGAATTTTCCATTTCATATTTTTGGATCACTGTCGATAGCAGATAGCTGAAACTATGGAAAGCAAAACCTCAGGTAAAGGGGACTACTGTAGTTTCAACCAGAACTCAAATTGAGATTTTTTTTTTTTTTTTGCTGCCAGACAAGAATACTCTTTTCTCACATATTAGCTGCCTTTCCTTGTCATGCAGCCAATCTCAGCAATCTTTCCTGTTCTCTTGAGGCACGGGTCAGCTCAGTGATTCATCTTCTTTCTGAGAGTTTAGGTCTGTACTTGGACCTCAAGACATCACAATATGGCAGAAAAAGCACTTGATTCGGAATCTGGAAATCTGGATCTGGCCCTTGGTCTGTCACTCAACCAGCTGTGTGACTCTGTACTTACTGTAGAATATATCAATTCAGTGTGAGGAAAGACATTCTTGATCTCAGGAGAAAGTGAACTCTCCATCATGAGAGGTATGTGAAGAGCATATATCAGAGAGACCGTAAAAATGATTGCTACTCCAAAGGGGATTGGCCTGAATGCTCTCCAAAGTCCTCCCTAGCCTAGAGACTTTGCTTATGATTCTCCCATTGAGGAGGGCACTCTCCACAAGGTGAGAAGACAAGAAGCATGTTTACACTTAATACAGGCATTTGCTAACAGAAGCCAAGACATGAAAGAACCAATGTGCAAGCAGAAATCTCCTCACTAACTTCTCAGCAAGGCTCATACAATGAAGCAGACAGTCACAAAGCATGCAAATGAGAAAAGTCTGATAGTACATACATATACTACATACCCTGGATTCCTCGCTCTCTCACTCAGGTTACCTGTATAAGTGATCCCTAACACCCATCTGGAGACTGACCCTTAGCTGGCCAGAATCTCAGAGAAAAGAGATTGAGAGCCATTTCACTATGCCCAAATTCAGCCAATGTAGCAAGTATCCCGAAGCAGGCCTGAAGTCCTCCCCACAGCCTAGGACAGACTGGAAGGGCCTCAGAGAAGGACAGAACACCTTTATTCTTTAGAGAACGAATGAGAGGGCCGGTCTTCATTTATTTATTTTTTTTCCTTGAAAAAGAAACTATAAAATGGCCCATGTCATGCAGCCAATCTCAGCAATCTTGGCTTTTTAAATTTAAAATGAAGAACAGATACCTTAGAGTCTAATACGTCAGGTCTAAAAATGTATAATCAAGTTCTACATTAATAACAGTTGAAAGAATGGGATATGCTAAGAAGGGGAGAATGGAAATATAAGAGAAAAAAGAGCAACTAGAGGGAAGTGTGAGAGCTGGGGAGGCACACAAAAGGGCTGGACTATCAGGCTCAAAAACTGTTTAATGGGATAAACAATTACAAAATAGGAAACAGGGAATGGGGAGATGGGAGGCAAAGAGAAAGAGACAGATATATCTTACACACTCAAGTCAAATGCCTGAAGGAGACGAAGACTACAGATAAGGGCTGGAGCAAGTCAGAGTTCACTGGTCCTACTGTTTTATTCTATGGCCACAGTTCTCAACCTTGTCATACCCTGGAATCACCCAGGGAACTTTAAAAATGCTCATATCCGGACCCTAACCCAGATTCTGATTTCACTCATCTGGGGTGGTGGCTTGGGCATCAAAAAAAATTTAATACTCTCCAAGTGATTCTAATATGCAGCAAAGTTAATAACCACTGATCTATGTGCTTTAAAGTATTATCATCTGACTTCCACTTCCCCATAGGATGCAGTAGGTCATGGCAAAAGAATAATTCTGCTCCAACACAACATCTGGAAAAAGCTGTGTAAGTTATGAAATTTTTGAAAGACAAATTATTATAATTAAGAAAACTTTCAAAGATATAAGAAAGCTACAGAAGCAATAAGGACTAGGTCTGTAGTTCTCAAAGTGTGATCCAGGGATCTTCAAGTGTTCCCAAAATCCTTTTAGACCATCTATAAGGTCAACGATACTATAATGATAGTATCAGTTTTATAATTATCTAAGAAATTATTTACCTTTTTCATTCTTTCTCTCACAACTGAACTGCAGTGTTTTCCAGAGGCTATATGAGTGATATCATAACACATTAAATACAGACACTAATATAAGAATCTAATGTCTGTTAAGCCAGACATTAGAAATATTTACAAAATTGTAAAAGAAAAAAAAAATCACTCTTCTCATTAAATTATTTCTATTTTGGAAAATGAAGTGATTTTTCATAAAAATACATTATTTCTGTTAACATGTAAGGGATTTAATATACTTATTTTAAATTAATAAATATTTTTAAATGTTTCCCAGTTTTAATTTCTAATAGGGTAAATAGCAACATATTGCCCGCCCCCCCCTGCCGCCGCCCAAAGAATATTCTTTGAGGTCCTCAATAATATTTAAGACCAAAAAGTCTGAGAGCCACTGGACTAGATAAACTAAAAATTCGGAGAGGGAAAGCCTTTCTAGGAGAAGTTGACAACTGCCATCCATTTTCTTCCCTGAAGGCATCTGATGATTCCAGAAGAGGGCTGAGAACTGGGCCTGGCCCAAGCAGAAGAACTCCACTGGGGCACAGTGAAACCAGCCTAGCTTTTGTTGGTAGCACAGTACTGATATAACAAATTGGAAACTGAAGGATTCCCAACATACATCCAGATTTCTTTTGGGGAGCATTTACTGAATCCTGGGGCTATGCAGGAGAATAGGCAGTTAGGCCATAGAGTGGGATAAAATCTCCCAAACTTTCAAAATGTTTAGGAGACAAAACATTTCAAGAAGGAGGGGACCTGCCTCAAACACACAGTCATCTCCTCCAGACATCTGCAAAATTTTGAAGCTATGAGGAGCAGGACACTAAAGAGCTAAATTGAAAACCTCCAAGTAGTAGAAGTGAATCTCTCATGGTCTTTCAGGGCTGAGGAGAAAGAAATCCACTGCTTGCAATAAAAAGCCAGGAAGGAATATGTTTGAGAAACTGGGACAAATGAGCGCTAGACCAAGTCTTGGTTACTTACTTACTCCAACATAGCTCAATCTGATTGGTTTGAGATGATTAGGTCTCAGTCTACATATCTAACAGAATAAAGGGAGAACCCTATATCTGATGGAAGATAAAATCATTTAGATCCTCTATTGTTTTTTGTGTACACTGCTGGCATTTAATAAAAATAAATTACTAGACATGAGAAGAGAAAGGAAAATACAACCGATAATCAAGAGGAAAAATAAGCAGCCCCATAAATGATCCAGATGTTAGAGTCACCAGATGAGGACTTTAAAATAAGCATGATTGGAAGTTAAAGAAAATATAGAAAAAGATGGACAATGATAGACGAAAACATGGAAATTTTAGACCGGGAACCATAATCTATAAAAGAGTAAAATGGACATTCTAGAACTAAACAATACATTATTTGAGAGTAGGATTCCACTGAATGGGTTAAATAGTGCAATGTTCACAGCAGAATACAGGAGTAGGGAACTCAAAGACAAATCAATAGAAAATAAACAAACCAAACCTCAGAGAGAAAAAAAGAACAGAACTAAGCCTACGAGACATACAGAATACAGTTAAAAGGTCTAACATAAATATTAGATTCCCAAAAGGAGAGAAGAGAATGGAGCAGAAGCAATATGTGGACACTAAAGAAAACATGCATTCTGTAATCGTTAGGTAAAATGTTCTATATGTTGTCAATGAAGTCAAATTGATTAATCATGTTTTAATTTCTTATATATCCTTACTGATGTTTTTGGCTACTTATTATTGAGAGAGGTGTGTTAACAACTCTAAACTTTGATTATAAATTTGTCTATTACCCTTTCAGCTTTTTTCAAGTTTTGCTTTGTATATTTTTTAATTATTAGGTATATCCAAATTTAGGTTTGCTATATATTGCTGTTGAACTCATACATTTATCATTATGAAATGTCCATTTTTGTCTCTACTAATACTTCTTGCTCTTAAGCTTACTTTGCCTGATATTAATATAGCTACCGCTGCTTTATTTTGATTAGTGTTTGTATCATATACCTTTTCTCATCCTTTTACTTTTAACTTTTTTTGTGTCCTTAAATGTAAAGTGTGTCTCCTATAAACAGCATATAGTTGGGTTTGTTTTGTAACCAGTCTGACACTCTTTGCCTTTCAATTATATTGTTTAGTCTGTTTATATAAACTAAGTCTCACACATATGAAAGGATTGAAACCATATAGCATGTTTTCTCACTACAGTGTAATTAAACTACATATTGATGAGAAAGATAACCAGAAAAGTTCAAAGGGTTTGAAAATTAAACAGTGCACTTCTAAATAACCATGAGCCAAAAAAGAAATTGCAATAGAAATCAGAAAATCTTTTGAGCTGAATGATAATGAAAATATGAAATATCAAACTTGGTAAATACAGCTAAAGTGGTGGTAAGATGGGAATTTATAGTTCTAAATGCATATATTAGTAAAGATTAAAAGTTTAAAATCAATTACCTAATGTTCCATCTCAAGAAACTAGAAAAATAAGAGCAAGTTAAAAAAATTTTTTTTGAAGTACAAGACTTATACAGTAAAAACTACAAAATGTTACTAAGAGAACTTTTAAAAGACCTAAATAGGTGATAGGATAAACAATACTCATGGATTGAAAGAAAGTCATTTAGTTAAAATGTTGATTTTTCCCCTACATGAATCTACACATTCAACACCAACACAATAAAAATTTCAGCAGGGCTATTTGGGTGGGGGTGGAGGGGACAATGGAATGACAAGCTGATATGGAAATGCAAGCTGATATGGAACTACCAAGGCCATCTTGAAGAAGAATAAAGCTGGAGAGCTTACCACTACCAGCTATCAAGACTTATTATAAGTCAATGTAGTGTAAGGATAGACAAGTAGACCAAAGAACAGAACAGAGATTCCTGAATATCATGGAACTGAATACCTACCTGCAGAAAAAAAATGAACCTTGACCTCCTACCTCATATCATACACAAAAATTACTTTAAAATAAACCATATCCCTAAATATGAAAGGTAAACAATAAAGCTTCTAGAAGAAAATTTAGGAAAATATCTTGGGGGTAGAGAAAGATTTCTTAAATAAGACACCAAAGGCACCATTAAAAAAAAAGACTGATTAAACTGGACCTTATTAACATCAAGAACTTCTAACGTTAAGAGAGCAGAAAGGCAAGCCCTGGGCTACGAGAAATATTTGCAATATATATGTGTATATACATTGACAAAATGACTTACATCCAGAATATATAAAGAAATCTTACAAATCAATTAATAAAAAGATACACAACCCAACTTTAAAATGAGAATAGATTACCAAATAAATGGTCAGTAAATTTAAGAAAAGGTATTCAATATTATTAGCCATTAGGGAAATGACTACATACATACCAGAATGTGTAAAATTAAATGCCCCAAAATACCAAGGTTGTAGCTCAACTAGAACTCTCACATATTTTTGGTGGCGGTATAGATTAGTATGACTATTTTTGAAACTGTTTGGTAATTTCTAATAAAACTAAATATTTAATGCCTTATTATATATTTAACAGAAATAAGTCCCTATGCCCACCAAGAAACATATGCAAGGTTCTTAGCCGTGTTATTCACAAAAGGCAGAAACAAAACAAACAAACAAAAAACTGCAAACAACCCAAATGTCTATCAACAGGGAAATAAATAATTTATAGTATACAATAGATTACTACTCAGCAATGGAAATAAAATTAGCTATCACTTTATACAACAACATAAATGACTCTTACAGACATAATGTTAAGTGAAAGAAACCAAACACAAAGAATATATACTGTATAATGCCATTTATATGAAGTTTAAAATCAGGTGAAACAAGTCTGCTTTAGAAATTATGACCATTGTTATCTTTTAGATAGAATACTGACAGTTGGCAGGGGAAGGCAAAAGTGAGCTTTCTGGGGCGCTTAAAAGATTCTGTATTTTGATCTGGGTGGCAGTTACATAGGTATATACACATGTAAAACTTGCCAACTTATAATTTCTACCTTTGACTCTATGTAAATATCTCAATAAAAAAAGGAACAAAATAACTTATCACCCTTTATCCACTGTTCTTTGAAAATCACAGTGACCATTTTTTTTGCAACTTTTCCACTATTCTTATTGGCAAGAATCTAGTGACTCTTGAAGATATTCTTTGAGCCATATTTCAAAGTCCTCATACCTAGAACTTGCCAGCCAGACTTTTGGCCCTTGACCTTTACCCTTGAGGTGTCCAGGAATTCGTAGACTCTCCTACCTGCTCCAGCTCCTCCTCAGCATATTTTTGGCGGCTTCGTTCATTCTCAGTACCCTCCCGCAGCTCCTTTAGCCTCTGGGCTTCCTGCTTGGCAAGGTTGATCTCATCACGCAGCTTCTTCTCCAGATGTACCTTCTCCACCTCGACGGTGCGATGCTCTTCCTGGGCCTTGTGCAGCCTGGGGGGCGATGCAGGGAGCTGGAGGAGGCCAGGCCCAGGGTTGCCAGCCAACATGCCATGAGTCATGGCATCGAAGAGGGAAATGAGGGCTCCAGTACTCAGCACATACTCTCCCTAGTCTGCTGACTCAGCGCCAACAGAAACCACAGTCATTACCATAATTCTTGTTGGCTGTCATTTTGCTACCAGTAATAAAGGCTGTGAAGCTAGGTTCTCGGGTATCTGAACGCTGCCTCTAAGATATCTGACATATTAAAATTATAACTACTAGTTTACAAGATATTTCATGTTTGTCCTTCCTGCAGATAATGATATATTGTATCATTATCAGCCTGGGACAGGTGTGGATATGAAGGCTTAGAGAAGGGAAGTGACTACAGGTAGAACTGAGACTAGAATCCTATCTGTACGACTTCAAATCCCATAGTTATTCCCCTTTTACCAGGGTATTTGGAAGGTTCAATATAAATGTAGGCTACCCTGCAAGACAGACTGAAGATCCAGAGAAATCCTGATGGTTGAGATATGACTGGGGTGGTAGTAGTGGGGAGATTTAAGGAAGATGAGAAAGGAACTATTGAGCTGTACCTCTTGGATTCTTGAGTATCTGTTCCTAGAAGCACAGAAAAATGAAATTCATGCCAAAGGGCCCTGCTTCCCCAGGCCTGAGTTCCCTTCCTAAGTAAGTATCTTCCATGGTGGGTAAGATCTCAGGGGCATCAGTTATAATGAAACTTTATCCTTGTACCCACTCACACATTCCTTCTGTTCACTGACAGAACCTTCCATCCAACTAAGCCTCCTTCCTTACTCCCTTCTTTCCTCCACATATCTACCTTCATTCATTCATTCATTCATTCATTCAATCACCAAGTACTTTCAGGTGTTTACTAAATGCCAAGTCCTGTGCTAAGCCCTAGATATATGGAGATGAATGAGAAAACCGTCTCTGCCACTGCAGAGCTCATGATCTGGTCCAATTAAGATAAGTAAACATAACTGTACACAGTGAGATAAGTTCTACAATAGAAAGACATACAGGGTGTTGGATGATCCTGAAGGGTGGAGTGATGGGACAAGTAGGAAGGGAAGAGTTAGAAATATCTAGACTGCACTCTCCTGCTAACAAATTGCAGTCTTCTACCCACTTTATCCTTAGTAGAAAGGGAACTGAACCTCCTCAAGGTACACACCAGGTGGCACTACATACATAGCTAAAAACAAATCAGAGGAGCCATTTCCTCCTGCCCCTATCTCCTTCCCTGGGTGAATACCCTCCTTTACTGTATTCCTCTATGACCCAACTGCCTGAAATTACACCATCAGGGACTCAATTCTTTACTAAAATATTATCCTTTCTGAAAGCAGCCTCTTGAGAAAAGCCTATAGTATATGTCTTCTCCAAATAATAGGGAGATCCTTTAAAGTAGAATCAAAACTGACCCACTTTTGTACTCCTAACAGGATCCAGTAGAGATGAAGATCAATAAGGACTATTGGGAGCAGAAATAAGCAAATAAATACCCCATCAAGATTTGCCCTATTCTATCTCCTCCAAAGATGGCTGGGCATCCTAAAGGCAGCGATTAGCATTACAAGTAAGAAAAACAAGAGACTGACTGCAAGTCCTGGCTCCAAATAGTTGTGTGACTGTGGACTAGACCAGTCCCTGTATAGTCCTGTTTCTTGATTTTTAAATGCAAATCAAAATTCCTGCCTGCCTCAAAGAATTATGTTGAAACCCAATGAAATCCTATCTGGAATGTGCATGTAGCATTACATTTATTCATCCAAAATATCGGGAATTCTGCAAAAAAAGGCTCTATCGTGGCTGGCACCACAGGCCTTTTAAAGTAAGGTAGGACAAGATGGCATGTGGCTCTGGACACTGTCAGAGAAGAATGTGTGTGTGTACACACGTGTAAGCTTGTCTCTGAAGTGTGCGTGCATTTTTTCTCTAAGTGCCAGAGTGGTCATTTAGCTTTCGAGGCCTTGGGGAGCAGGGAGGGCTGGGAGCTTAGTTTTATCCCCAGAGTTGGAATGTCTCCTGCCTAGATTCTTTGCCTTTGGAATGAAAACAGTACATGTTTTTCAGACAAATGAAGAATGGGGACTGCCCAGACAGCAGCATTTAGCCCCCAGCTGGCAAAGGGCCCAGGAACAAGAGGCCCAGCAAAGTAGCCAGGAATCAGCTCAGAGATAAAACTCTTCCTCTTGCCCCGTAGAAGCCAGGCCCATGGGAATGAATCTGATAGGGCTGCCTTTACTGAGAAAGCACCCTGTGGGCGTCAACATTCCTAGCTCGCTACTTACTGATATGTGACCCGAAGCAAAGCACTCACCCTCTCTGAACCTTCATGTCAACACTAAAATAGGGATAATAATAGTACTTACCTAATAATCATTGTGATGATTAAAAACAATAATGCATTTAAGTACTTAACAATACCTAGCTCACAAGAAATCCTTTCCCCATCCCTCCAAAAAAAAAATAGTATCTATCATTTAAAAATAACAGAAAAAAGCCAGACTTCATTTGCTTTTATGTGGAGTCCTACAAAGACTTCCCAACTGGAGTTCCTGGGCTGCCAGAACAATTTTCTAAAAGAAAAGACCTCTCCTCTTCTCAAAAACAAACAAGGCAAAAAACCAAATACCTGCATTGATTCTCTATTGCCTTTTGCATCCTACTAAACTCCTCCACGTGAGTCTTAAGGTGTCAGGGGTCTGGCCTCACTCTATACATTCAATCTTAACTATGGGGACCTCCCTACCCTCTCTCTTTCAAAGCCACCTCCTCATGGTCCACATCTACTCACCTGCCTCTGTACCCTTCCACTCCTTAGAATTCTCGTCCCATAAGCTGGAACTAAGTCATTGCACTAAGTTTGTGCTCACTGCTCCTTCTCACATGTGGGGCTTTGTTGCCCCAGATGCAGTGAATTCCTTACAATTTCCAGCCAGACCTGGTTCCCAGATGTCAGGAAGTACTTAGATTAACTGACCGGCACCTTCTTTTCACAGCTAGGTCTTCTACAATAGTTTTTAAGCCATGTTTTATTTAAACAGAATCCCAGACTATCAGAGCTAGAAGGCCTTTAGTGTTCTCCCCGTTCCATACCTTCATATTACTGATGAGGAAATAAGTCCTAGAAGGGAAAAGGACTTACCCAAAGTCATACAAGTGAGTATTTATGAGATTTAGAAGGTATTAGGAAGACAGATTTGTGAGGTTTCTCTGGGGAATGGTGAAGAGCAGTTCGTTGTGTCTTTTTCTACAGGAAGGAAAGCTGTTCAGAGGTAAGACAAAGGACAGAATGACCCCTAAGAAGTCATCCAACAAGGGAAGCTCAAGACTTCTTATAGATACACATTTTTCCCTCTGGAGCTGAGAGGGAAAAATAATAGAAATAAGCTTCTGTACTGGTGAAGAATACTTGCCATAGAACTGGAATGGACTCTGTATGCATTTTTGGAAGGATGACACAGCCTGGGCAGCCATGTCAGCATGGTCTCAGGAACCAGATGGCTGACACCAAGTGGAAACAGGAGGCTCCGAAAAGCTAGCAGCTCCAGGGATGTGGGGAAGGGGACAGGGCCTTACCTTTCCTGAAGGTCATGCAGACTCTGTTCAGCTCGGTGTAACCCCTCTAGATCCTTCATCATCTTCTTCATGTGCTCCTTAGAGTAACGATTCTGGATATAGGCAAACCAGCAGCCACCCACACCAATAACGATAGACACCACCAGCATGAAGTCCTTGAGGTGATTATGGCGGGTCACTGTCAGAGAGGAAGGGCGAGGTGAGTCAGGTTGCCCACTGCACACTTAGCCTTACAAGCTCCATTGCACTCCCTCCTGCATGAAGCCTTCCCATTCAGGAGGAATTAGTTTCTCCTCTTAGACATACACTTGCCACACAGTATTATAGTAAGCTAAGTGCTTATTTCTCTGCTAAGTCGAGGCCTAGTTTAGAAAAAATGACGGGCCTTAGAGCAACACAGGAAACTTATTAAATTATGTTTCCCTAATATGCAGTGAAGAGGAGAGCACTAGAGCCTTCTCAATACATCCCAGCCATCTCTGGTCTGGGATGAATCCGAGTGCCCAGATGCAGTGACTTCTACCCTACAGAATAAGAATGCTGGGGTGCTAGAGTAGGTAGAAGGGTATGGCTGGTAAGGGTATAAAGCAATGTCACAGAGCCTAAGGTCTGGCTGTGGGACTAAGGTTACTTCAGGATCTGGGTCTCCTGGACTACTAGACTATTCTAGGTACAAGGTGCAAAGTCCAGATAAGTGAAGCTCTGTAAGTCTCATTTATGGAGAGCATTTCTAGGCTATGGTTCAATCCAGAGAGCAAGTAGAACAGGCATAGCCTCAAGAGATTGGTATTCATGAGACATCACACATGCCAGGAACAGTGGGGCAGATCTACCTGTAGAGAATGCCTGGCAGCAATTTGATGGAGTGTGAGGGCCCCAATCACCAGCTGGGGTACAGAGTAATAATCAGTCTCTAGAGTAAAACTGAAAAGCTAACCAGGTAATACCACCAGAGGTAAGAGAAAAGGCCATGTCCTAAGAACCAAGGTAACCAGAAGACAGACTCCTGGAACCTCACATTGTTCCCCGTATACCAGATCTGGGCTACAATGCAGACCTGAAAGAGACACCATAAGGAGAGAGGGTTGCTGCTGTAGCCCTTGCCTGGGTTGTACTAAACTTGCTACAGAGTAGCTATGGCCTCAGAGGCCCCCCGATGTGGGAGTCTGGGAAGGAAGAAAAGAGGGAATCACCTCCTGGTTACCCTCAGATTAGAGAGGGGAAGGTAGGAGTGCCAGGATCTCAGTGCCTGGTAAGGACAAGGGGCTAACAGGAATGTAAAAGGACCCAGGTAGAGCCACCAAGGTGAGGCAAGGTCTAGACAATAGGTAAAGACACATGAAGCTGGAAACTGCATGAACATGAAGCCCAGTTTGAGGAAAAAGGGTTATATTCATAGCTCTTCATTGAAAGGCTGAGCAGCAGGACATGAAAACGGTGTGTGTTCAAAGACAGATTAACACATTCTATATCCATCCAAGGGAGAGGAGTTACTAGGTCTGGGGTGGTAGCCATGTCCTTTACACGTTTATGCCAGAATCTCAGAAAAAACTAAGGGTTCTCTTGTGGCCAACCTCTAGCCTCCATGCAGGCCTATACTTCGAGCCATACTCACGTCCTCACTCTCTTACCCCTCAAGTCTCAAGAAAAGATACTTCGGCAGCACAGTGAGCTGCCTTTCTTTCTGGAACACACCTGCCTCCTACATAGCCTCTACCAGAGGCTAGGGTACTCTCCGTCTCCTGTATGTAAAGGACTTTTAATCTTGGCTTCCTAGGGTTTCTCAAATCCAACATCCCTTGTACATTCCTAATAAAAATCATTGTTCAAACAAGACTCTATTCAATCAGCACCCTCCCCCTTTTACCGCCAGTGCTTCAAAGTTCTTAGGGTAGGCATGCAGACAGGGTGCCTATCTATTCTACCCAGTCCCTTATTCTGCCTTTTCCAGATTGATTTGGAACAAAATTTTATTACTGTTTCCAGCTTCATAATCTCATCCAAGTCATAAATAAAAATTCTGATTGACCAAGGCCAAGGATGGGATCTAAGGTAATACTGTTCCACCTATCAGTACCCTCTCGATCTCTTCAACCAGTTTTGACTCCTCTTAAATGTACAAGCATCCACCCCAAACATACATCTCTCTGCCTTATCACATGCATAGCTGAAGCTCAGCTATACTTACAGCTATACTTATTTACGTCACATTCCATTAGTGACGAAGCTTGGTGGGAAGACAATTAGTCTAATCTTGTTGATTTACTCTGTGGCCCCTAGTGATCATCACTTGTCTGTACGCCAGTGTCCAGCATAGCATCAACCACTACACAGAAGGCACACAATAAATATTTGTGGGATTGAATTGTTACTGATAAGCCTGAAGTATGATATCTTTCTCTCTTTAATCCACATAAGAAAAGAAGGGAAATAGAAAAAACATACAATGTACCAAGCATTTATATTCATCATGTGTAATTTTCACAACTACTCTCTAGGGAAGGGTATTAGTATTCCCATTCTATAGACCAGAAAACTAAGGCTCATATGGGGCACTGACTTGGAAGAATTCATAAAAAGTTACAGAGCTGGGATTCAAACCCAGATTTGCTTGACTGCATGATTTTTCTGCTACACTCTACTTTCTCACTATAACTTTCACACACTCATATACAATGGAATATTACTCAGCCATAAGAAAAGATGAAATACTGCCATTTGCAACACCATAGATGGATCTTAAGATAATCATGCGAAGCAAAATAAGTCAGAAAAAGTTGAAAGCCATATGATTTCACTCATATGTGGGATATAAAACTGAAAGTAACAAACAAACATGACAAACAGAGACTCATGGACACAGACAGTGGATTAGTGGTTACCAGAAGAAAAGGGTAGAGGGGACAGATAGGTAGTGGTAAGAGGGATCAAATATTTTATGATGGAAGGAAATCTAACTTTGGGTGGTAAACATACAATGCAATATATATACAACAAACTGTTAAATTGTACACTTGAAACTTACGTGATTTTATTAATCAGTGTCACCCTAATAATTTTTAATTTAAACAAACTTTCACACAATTGTAGCAAGTATGTTTCTCTGTTACATGCAAACATCTTTCACCTTGAAGATGCCTATATCCCCTGATCTAGCCTGGGTGTCACTGTAAGAGTTCCAATGTCTGAGCTTTCCCCTTAAACAACATCCTGGGAGCTGAGTGTGGCACTGTCACTAGGACAGGCCTTTAAAGTTAAACATAAAGCCTTATGTAGAGAAATTCTTGTGCCATCAAAGAAAGCATGCTGCATACAAAATGCGTTATCACAGAATTACAAAAGAGATCCTTGTAAATTAAAGTGCTTAGAAATGTCTTACAAATCCGGTAGGTAATTAGAATACGGATGCGGAATCTGAGGAAGAGATAAGAGCTGGAGAAGTCCCAAAGTCCTAAAGGAACCCATGATGGTTAATTTTATGTATCGACCTGACTGGACTAAAGGATGCCCAGATAGCTGGTAAAACATTATTTCTGTGTATGTCTGTGAGGTCATCTTCATAAGAGATTAGTATTTGAATCAGAAGACTGAGTAAAGATCATCTTCACTAATGCAAGTGAGCATCATCCAATCATCCTGAGGTCCTGAATAGAACCAACAGGCAGAGGAAGGGCAGATTTGCTCTCTCAGCTTGAGCAGAAATATCCATCTTCTCTTGTCCTCTTATCAATGCTCCTGGTTCTCAGGTTTTCAGACACAGACAGAGACTTTACCAACTGCCCTCTGGTTCTCAGGCCTTTGGACTTGGACTGAATTACACCACCAGCTTTCCTGGTTCTCCAGCTTGCAGACAGCAGATCATGGGACTTTTTGGCCTCCATAATTATGTGAGCCAATTCTTATAATAAATCTCCTCTTATACATATCTATATACATATCCTTGATTCTGTTTCTCTAGGGAACCCTGAATGATACAGAATCTATATAGTGTCAGAAAAAGAGAGGAAAATCAAGAGTCTAGTATATGCCTAATCAAATGTACTTCTTCCCATCATAATCCTATTCCCATTCTTCAGTTCCTACTACCTTCCCAGCTCACCACAGTCCACAGAGATCCTTCCATTCCTTCTCCTCCGAACTAGGATTCCCTGATTAACCCACTCTTTGGACAGGTAAACATGGATTATCTCTTGCTATCTTAAGGACTGCCTTATGTGTTTTTCAGCTTTCATGTCAGTCACCTTCTTTCTAATAGTCTGTGAGTTCTTCAGGGCTAGACACAAGACTTATTTCTATCTCCGTAGTGCCATACTCAGCATAGAGCCTGATAAGAGCAGATACTCAGCAAAGGCGGAAAGCAGAGAAAAGGAGAAAAAAGAAGGGAGATTTTAGCAGAAAAGAGAGCGGTGTACATATAAAATGCACGTGTAGGGCAAATACCAGTTCCTAGGGACAAGAAGAGTATGGCCAGCTGTCCTACACACAATCTCAGCTCTCGGAAACCACCGTGTACCCAGGGAACAGAGCCCGGGCAGATAGACGATGGAGGTTTCAGGAGAGCAGATGTGGCTGGCTAGGTGAACAGAGCTAACCCAGGAAAGCTGGCTGGGATCTGAGGAGCCAGAGGGTGGCAGAATTCCTAGTCTGAGTGCTGTGAACAGATTTCTTAGCAAAATGAGGTCAATTGTTAACACAATGAGGCCTAAAACAGGGGAGGAGATGTAAATTAATGAGATGCTGACATGTTAACAGAGTCAGGGGTAATGGTGAGAATTTTCATGATAACAGTTAGCATTGAGAAAGTGATTCTCCAATCATTATCTCTTTCTGGAATCCCCTCTCCCAATCTTTTCTCTCCACCCTTTTTACTGCCCACAATACCCTGACCCTGTCAGATACAGATATTCATTCTTTACTGCCAAAATGTGTGCTAAGAATTTCTGCTGTCATTTACTTAGCCTTCTGTGCTGAGGTGTCTGTTTAACCTATAAGAGCTATTCCTGGGCCCTCTTTCCTCCTGGTTATAGCCCCCAAAGTGCTTTAACTGCCTCACATATCCAAAGATGCTTCATAGGTAGCAGTTCTCCCCACAGCCAAGCTGGGCCACATTTTTCTCCCATCTCCCCTCAGTCCCATAGCTCTGGAGAAGCCCAGCCTCCTTCTGTATAACATCTTGCA